TATTTTTGAGAGAGAGAGCGTGAGTGGGTGAGGGGCAGAGAGAGACGGAGACACAGAATCTGAAGCAGGCTCCACGCTCTGACCTGTCAGCACATAGCCCGATGCAGGGCTCAAGCAAACCTCGAGATCATGACCTGAACCAAAGTCGGATGCTTAACTGACTGAGCCACACAGGCACCCCTATATGTAAACACTTTTGAACACAAAAGATATATTACACAGCTTGTTATGAAACTGACCTTTTATTTTCCATTTTGTAATATATCTTGGACATCTTTTCCATGCCAACAATATACTACGTTGACCCTTGAACGATGTGGAGGTTAAGGGTATGACCCCACGCACAGTTGAAAATCCATGTGACTTTGTACACCCCTGAAACTTAACTACTGATAGCTTTCTATTGATTGGAAGCCTCATCCATCATAACATATACAGTTGGCTAACATGTAGGTTGTATGCTATGTATGTATTATATACTGTGTTCTTACAATAAAGGAAGCTAGAGAGAAGAAAATGTGACTAAGAACATTACAAGGAAGAATAAATACATTCACAGACCTGTACTGTATTGACTGAAAAAAATTTGCATATAAGTGGACCAACGCAGTTCAAACCCATGTTCCTTAAAGGTCAACGGTAGTCACCTGCTTACTTCTTATTAACAGTCACATAGTACCCCATGGTATAGGCCCATCATAATGTATCAGTTCATCACCACAAAGCATTTTGGCTGTTTTCAGTGTTTTAGTACTATAGGAACACGTACTCAGGGTCTCTGTACAACTAACCCATCTTGGCCATCCTTTAATTCCTCCTTTCCTATACATTCCATGAGGTAGAATCCCCTGTAAGAGCACCATATTCTGTATTCACTGGTTCTAACAAGTACTCCTTGTTTCAACGGAAGAATTCCAATTGCACAGAAGAACAGAAAGTAAGAAGTGAAAAGTTATTCCACCTACCTTGTCTGGCATGTGTCTCAATCCTATACTCAAGAGCTAACATGTAACCTTTGGAAATGGTGTCCTTGTGTATGTGTGTATGTAACTATACACATGTATGTCCCCCGTTTAAGGAAAAACACGCGATCATTTTATGAGTACTATCACACTCTTCTTTCTCGTAACATAGTTTGACGCCATTCCTTGTCAGTACATAAATCCTTTTAAAATATTCTGAAAGGGACTCCTGGGTGGCTCACTCAGTTGAGCAGCCGACTCCTGACTTTGGCTCAGGTCATGATTTCATGGTTCATGGAATCAAGCCCCATGTCAGGCTCTGTCTCTCTCAAAAATAAATATACATAGGGGCGCCTGGGTGGCGCAGTCGGTTAAGCGTCCGACTTCAGCCAGGTCACGATCTCACGGTCCGTGGGTTCGAGCCCCGCGTCGGGCTCTGGGCTGATGGCTCAGAGCCTGGAGCCTGTTTCCGATTCTGTGTCTCCCTCTCTCTCTGCCCCTCCCCCGTTCATGCTCTGTCTCTCTCTGTCCCAAAAATAAATAAAAAAGTTGAAAAAAAAATTAAAAAAAAATAAATATACATAAAAAAATACAAAAAAAGAAAAAGAAAATGTGCTTCAGAAAGGCAGAGCAATTGGCACTGGCTCCCATAAATACATGTGTGCCATTTTTCCATAGTCTTACTAATGGTATTAAAAAAAAACCAAAAACTCTGCACTTCGCTGATCAAAGAAATGAAAAAAGGTTATCTCCTTATGGCTGTACTTTGACTAGTCTAGTTTCCCAGGTTGTCATTGGCTTTCTGTTTCGTTTATCCTTTTCCATTTTTCTTGCTTTGAAAATTTTTTTAAAGAGTTCAGTGTTTGAATTTATAGCTCCTGAGTTTTGCATCAGGCTTAGAAAGGCTTTCCACACTCCCAAGATTATTTGTTCACATGATTGAATTAAAATTTTTTTTATGTTTATTCATTTTTGAAAGACACAGAGAGAGCACAAGCAGGGGTGGGGCAGAGAGAGTGGGGGACACAGAATCTGAAGCAGGCTCCAGGCTCTGAGCTGTCAGCACAGAGCCCGACGCGGGGCTTGAACTCATGAACCACGAGATTGTGACCTGAGCCGAAGTCGGACGTTCAACTGACTGAGCCACCCAGGCGCCCCCATGTGATTGAATTAAAACTGAAATGGAAGCCCATCTTTTTCCTTCTCTCTTGGACTACCACACAGCAACGTCAAGAGAATGGGTGATACCCACAGCTTCTCGTGATACATGATGCGCGCATTCATCACAGTAGGCCATACACGCGGCCTCATAGATCAATTACTGCCAGGAAAGCTCAAAGTTAGAATGAAGGGCATGAGTCAAAAGACATGAGAAAAGTCAAATAACATTGTGAGCACAAGAGGTCAATAAAAATAAGATAAAATCAAACATCTTTTACTTAACATTTCACCGCACATACATTTAAAAAAAGGCAGTCCTTTTTGGGTTTTAATACGTTGCCTGCTCAAGTTTAGCACCAGTGTTGGCGTTATTAAGTACACTCTTGAGTTGGTTTCTGAATTTCACCAGACATGGCATCTGGTTCCCCCAGAGGGAGTGAGCTGAGGGAGAATGCCAGGAGGAAGTTCTCCTTTTTATGACCTAGCCTCAGAAGTCATACAGCATGTGTACAGTCTCTTCCATGGAAGCAAGCCACTAACTCTGGGTCGCGCTCAAGGCCAGGGGGATTGTCTCCACCTTTGAAGGGAGGCATGCTATAGAAATGGGGATATACTTTAAAACACCACATCTCGATTGTACCCGTGCTGCACTCAGCTTCCTACTGAGGGTGAGATTCTTTGACCGTGCAGTCCTGGACTCCAAAGGTGGGGTGGCTTGTTGGAGATGCAGGTGACTCCCCCCACTAACATTTCAGTCACCGTGTATGAGAACAATGATCTGCTCTTCTGGCAGGTGGGGGAAGGAGTGTGGGAGGGATGTGTTCTGATTCCTTCTCATGCCTTTCCTGTGATCAAATGTGGTCACAACTCACCTCACTTGGTAAATTAAAGGGACGTGTTTCTCCCTAAACTCTTGTTTTCTGTAGAA